TCAGCAGCTCGGTGGCCCGCACGTGGATGGCTCCCGCGCCCTCCTCACCGGGCACGGAGCCCGTTGCTGGGCTCTGGGCCAAGGTTCTCATCTTTGACAGGAGCAGGGAGACCCTGAGGAGGAGGGAGTCCCAGCCCGTCAGCTGCAGGCGCACCCCTCACGCGGGCAGGGGCATCGTGGAGGGACCAGCTGCCAGGAGCACCCAGCTAGCGTGGTCTTGGCTGGGAGAGGTGAGGCGGCAGTGCTGACACAGCCCATGCCACCCGCGTCCAACCAGAAGGGCTCTGGGGGACGGGACAACCTCCAAAGCCGTTCCCTTTCCCGACGGGAAGCCTGTAGCTTTCCCTCTACCCCCCGGGAACTGGTACCTGGGAATCAGGTCTTGGCTCCGGGAGGCCAGCTTGGTCAGTGTGGTCATGAGCACGGTGATGACCTGCGGAGGACACTTGGGAAGGGTGGTGGAGGGCCGCGACTGGGTGACCTCGAAGAGCAGGGCCTCCAGGGCTTCGAAAAAGTTGTTGATCTGCTCCACGGTGCAGCGCCGGTCCCAGGACACCGACAGGTACTCGCCGATGGCCCACACCTGGGTGGGGGACAGCACTTCAGCCCTGTGACAGGCCCGTGCGTCAGGTGCAGGCTGGGGCGGGGCAGCGGCTGCCTTACCACGGATGTGAGCACGTGCCCGCCGCTGCGGGGGCCGCCCACAAACTGCAGCAGCTCCTTCGCCTGCTCGACCACCAGTGGAGGATGCAGCTTGCACAAGGCCGGGAACTGGGAGCTCAGCACCCTGCCAGAGAGGACACGCGGGCTGTGCCCGCTCCACACAGACCCCAGCCCCGCGGCCCGTCCCAAGAAGAGCTGGGCGGTGGCGGGAAGCCCCCGAGCACCAGGTGGAGGTAAAGGTAGTCCCGGCCCCGCCAGGAACCTCTTGCCCCATCGGGGAGGAGGCTGGGCTGGAGTGGGGATGAGCCCGCATAAACTGGGCCTTCAGCAAGGGGGACACATGTTCTGGAAGGCTCCGTGGAAGAGGGGCTTGGGTGGGCAGGGAAGGGTCCGTGCAGTGGCCGAGGAAGTGTCGTGGCTGGGCTGGGGTTTGTGGCAGCTGGGGAACCGTAGCCGTGAGGGACGGAGAGCCCGCCAGTGAACCCGTCCAGGGCTAGGCCATGGAGCTGCAGGAGGGGCTGAGCCCACCAGGACGAACCCACCTGTGCACACGGGCTTCATACCCCGGGACCTGGTAAAGCGAGTCGCTTCGTTCCAGAAGCAGCAGTGCCAGCTGGCTGGCCAGGGCCCCGTCAGCAAACTGGGGGGGAGAGAGAGAGAGAGAGAGAGAGAGAGAGCGTCCCACCCCCAGGGAACACCTCTGCTCTGGACCTGGCTGGCTGCTGCCCTGGGGGCTTCTCTCCGCCCCAGTTCTGGGAGGGACAGTAGCCGGGCCGGAGCTGGTGTGAGCCGCCCTGTCTGCTGTGATGGACCAGCCCCTTGGCCACTGAGGAAGCTGGGGCCCTGTGGGTCCTAGCTCTGGCCGGCCTTCTGCTGCAGGGACAGAGGCCCCAGGAAGCGGGCTCACCTGTGTCACCGCCGAGAAGAACGCCCGGAGCAGGGTGGGCACGGCCTCGGCGCACTGGACCACCCGGGCGCAGCCGGCCAGGGGCTGCAGCAGCCGGTAGAGCGGCGTCAACCTGGGGACACACGGCCCGGCCCTGAGCACACGCCTGTTCCCCGTCCGCCTGGGGACCCGGCTCTGGGAGCACCTGCTCTGCCCTCATCAGAGGCCACCCTGTGCATCTCCTAATGCACGGCCTGCTCCCTCCGCGGCCGCCCTGCTCCCGTGGCACACGGGAGGGCTGGAGTGCGGCTGGGGGCAGGAGGCCGTGGTCCAGTCCTGGCCCTCCCGCCCCTAGGATGTGCTAAGCCTCCCTTTCCCCACTTGTGGCAAGGAGTCAGCACAGCACCTGCCCCACAGGGTGACAAGGACGGGATCGGGAAACTGAACAAGCAGACCACAAGCCAGGTGCCCAGGAAGCGCTTGGCCACGTGGCCAGCGCCTGTGGGGTGGGGGGTCACCAGAGCTGTCTCTCCAGGTCAGAAGGCACCAGGCCTGGGGTGGATGCCAGGGCCCAGCCTCAAGGCCTCAGGGGGCTCTCGTGTCCCACGTGGGGCCTGGGACGCCCGGCAGCGAGCCCTACCTCTCTGCGGTCCCGCTGGCCTGGGTACGTAGCAGGTGCTGGAAAAGGCCCTGGACCTGCGAGTCCCGGAAGGCCTCCAGGCAGCCAGGGGCCCTGATGGAGACGTCCCAGGGCGGCCTCTCGGATGCGGCCTGCAGCGACCTGCAAAGCAGGGAGACTCCCAAGGCTGGGCTCGGATGTGGGCTCTGGCCCAGGCCAGAAGAAGCTGGACTCGGCCCCTGCCCTCGCAGTACCCACTGGCCAGGGAGAGACTAGAGCGGACGTCACCGTAACATCACTGTGCCCTGACCCAGCCAGGAGCTGCAGGATGACCCGAAAGGGCCTGGGGGCCGGGCCCCTGGGAGGCCGCGCGGCGGAGTGAAAGACAGGCTGGGCTCTGGGGCTGCGGTCGGGGCGGCGAAGAGGTGCAGAGACACTGCTTGGGAGACAGCAGGAGCGGCCGGGCGCAAGGAGGGGCAGGGACAGGGCGGACACGGTCCGAACAGTGAGCAGCGGGGCCGGGCAGTGGCTCACCTGAGCTGCAGGTCCAAGGCTGCGGTCAGACAGGGCAGGTCCAGCAGCAGGTGGAGCATCTCCACGGCCGTCCCTGCGTCAACCAGCGATGGGAGCAGCGCCACAAAGTCAGAGGTGAGGGGCGGGCTGTTCCAGGCCAGGAACTGCGGGGACAGCAGGGCAGCTCCAGTGCGAGCCCGGAGGGCATGACGCCAGCCCTGCCACCTCCTCATGCTTCACTGTGACCCAGGAGTTGGAAGATATGCCCTTCAACTTTCTTCCCCCCTATTCTTTTTGCTTCTGCACTCACTTTTGTACCAACCATCACATCACTTTCCATTTATCATCGTTTATTTTCCTGATTAAAGAACTCAGTCTCTGATTTTGGAAAGGCCACGCAGCGACACGCCAATCACAAAAGACGCATCAGGGCTTCCCTGGTGGCACAGTGGTTGAGAATCCGCCTGCCAGTTCAAGCCCTGGTCCGGGAAGATGCCACATGCCGCAGAGCAACTAAGCCCGCGTGCCACAACTACTGAGCCTACACGCCTAGAGCCGTGCTCCACAATGAGAAGCCACCACAATGAGAAGCCCGCCCACTGCAACAAAGAATAGCCCCTGCTCGCCACAACTAGAGAAAGCCCACGCACAGCAATCAAGACCCAATGCAGACAAATACAGAAAAAAAAAACCAAACAAACTCATCGAAGACAAAGGTGCCAAATAGCTGAACACACCCGGCAACGCTCCCCAGTGAAGACATGCTAACCTGAACCAACTCTGCGAGCCCAGACACCAAGCCAGGCCCGACCTCGCCTTCCTGAGGGCACGGGCACGGGTGCCCCCACCCCCCGGCCCATGCCAGGACACTGCCCCGGGGGCGCTGCACACCCCAGGCCCCCAAGCCCCTGCTCTGGCTCATGGATGACCAAGCGTGCCTTGAAGAGGTTGGGGAAGCTTGTCCTGAGAACGCCAAGGTTTCTGCCGAACAGAGGCAGGCTGTCCCTGCAGAACTGGACAAACTCGAAGGCCAGCATCGGGCTGTGGAAATGTTCAGCGGGGATCCTGGTGAAGAGGTGCTGGTAGACGGCTTCCGCGTCCACTGCGGCGGCCTCCCCTGAAAGGCAGCGGGCTCCGTCAGGGCAGAAGGCCTCGGATGCTGCCGGGGGCCCCCCGAGCCTTGGGCCAAGCCTCCGGGGCCACCACGTGTCTGCGGGACACGTCCACCCTTCGCAAGCGCGGGAAGAGCCAGCTGAGCCGGATGCAGGTCTTCCCAGGTGTCTCTGGCCACAGACCCACCCTCTGGTTACGCTACGGGGATCGTTCCTTGGAAGGGGCTGGTTTCATGGCACCTTCCAGGAAACTCTCGTGGCAAAGAGAGTTCAAGATCAACACAGACTTGGTAACGTTTTAAGTTGCTACTTAAATCCATCTAAAAGTTCCCACCGTCGAAGTGCTAACCGCTCATCAGATCAGTGCTGCTCTACAGACGAAAGAAGGGGGCGGCGTGCAGGGGCAAGCCGCCCTCCCCGCGAGCGGCTCTGCTCCCACGGGAGGGCGGAGGCTCACCGTGGTGCAGGAAGAACTGGGCGACGGGCAGCATCGCCCGCACCCAGGCTGGGTCCCCGCGCAGGCGCGTGTGCAGGGGCTTCAGGCAGGAGAGGGTGCGGTACAGGAAGGAGGGGTCCTGCCGGCAGAGCACGTCCAGCACCAGCACGGCCTCCACCAGACACTGCGGGGACCCGAGGAGGCCGCTCAGACGGAGCTGGGAGCGCCCGCCCGCCCGCCCGCCCGCCCGCCTGCCGGGCACGCACCGCTTTCTGCAGGTCGGCGTCTGCCTTCTTCAGGGCTCCTGGGGGAGGGAAGAAAGCCACCTGGCCTGTGTGTCCCCATCAGAACAGCCGAACACGAAGGTGCCCCGCCCCGTGTTCTGGAAGCGGAGAGGCCAGGGAGCCCACAGCTGGGAGCGACCCCAGCGCAGATGCGAGGTGGGGACTGAGCGCCACGGGCCGCGGACGGGAAGGGTGGCCCCGGGACTCACGCCGGTTACTCTGCTCCAGCAGGCGCCGGCAGTACTCGAAGGCCTTCTCCCGCAGCCACTGCTGAGGCGGCAGCAGGTGGCCGGCCGTGGAGGTGGCCGAGAGCACGGACAGGGTGGAGCCTTCCAGCTCTGACTTGTCGTCTGGAAGAGAGAACGAGGGCTCAGGACAGAGGACCTCCGCAGGGTGCGAGGAAGGCTGCCGTCGCCGACCGCCGAGGCCTGCGCGCTGTCCCGCCTGCTGCCACCCCAGCTGGACACGGTGGTGTAGATGAGCCCAGACTGTCTAGAACTGCTCGTGGGCTTGCAGAGGAGGGAGAGTTTGGAGAAGCTGTCTGAACAGTCCTGTCGACATCTGGCCTCTCAGCACATCTGGGAAAGGCCTTCTGGAGACCACGAGGCTCAGCCAATGTCGCCCAGGGGCCCACCACGTCCTGCCTGCGTCCTACCTGCATCCGGGGCACTGGAGCCCCCAGGGCCGCTGTCCAGCAGCCAGGCCCGCAGCATGGAGAAGGCCTGCACGTTCAGCCACTGGTCCTCTGTGAAGCGCTGGCCCGTGGACAGCACCGTGAAGAAGTCTGTGGCCACCGCCCCGTCCACCTCGGTGACAGGGCCCAGCTGCAGGAGGCAAGGACGGTCAGCCGGCGCTGCAGGGCCCGGGAAGGGCCGAGAACAGGCGGCACGGTACGCGAGCCACCGCCCTGGCCACCCACGCTCCCCCGGGACCACGGGCACCCTACCCCCACCCAGGGTGCGTGAGTGCAGGCACCGGGGCTGAAAACACAGCCCTCGGTCAAATACGATCCCTGCCCGCGTGTTCCAGGCCTCAACCCACAGAGCGCGTCACAGGCTCGGGGGCTGTGACCCAAGGCGCCCCCGCACGCCCGAGTGGAGCGAGGAGAGAGCGCTCATTCTGGAACCAGGGAGGAGGAGCGGGTGGCGGCCCAGGGGCACGGAGCTCCGAGTGCCCCAGCCTCACCTGCCGGGCTCTAGGCGTGGGGAAGAAGCCCCCGGAGGAGTGGGCGGCCGCCTGCTGGACGCTGGCGTAGCGGAGCCAGTCCCCCAGCCGCTTGCTGAGCGCCCTGGTCTGCTCTGTGCAGGGCGGGGGGGGGGGGGGCCCGCAGGCTTGCACTGCCTGGGCTGCCGCAGGTCTTCCTAGGAACCGGCAGCAGCCCCGGCGGCCCCTCGCCCCTGGTGGCGGGGTGTGTGCAGACCTTCACGGAGAGCGTCCGGGGCCAGGCTGGTGACCTTGGACACGACGGGGAGGAGGTACCTCAGGCTGGGCCCCTCGGGCTGCCGGCTCTCCAGGACCTTGAGGACGCGCTGGCCCAAGCTCCTGACCTGCTGTTGGTCACCCTGCAAACCCCACAGCAGAACGTGTTCCTGCGCGTCACGAACGCCACCCGGTTCGGGCGTCCGGAGCGTCACGAGGGCAGCCCCGGCCCTGCAGCCTGAATCAGCCTCACAGCCCTGGCTCATCCCCCACACCTGGAATGGGGGCGGAGTGGGGAGGGCTGCTGGGTGACAGGGGCCCAGCCGAGCCTGCCCGCCCCACGGGGAGCACGCGGCCTGCTGGTTCACCGAGGCCCCAGGGCCACCAAGGGCAGGGCGGTGGCAGTCACGTTACCTGGGCCAAGAGCACAGAGGCCACGAGGCCCAGCTGCCGCGTGTTCTGGATGTGGTCGCAGGAGAGGCTCAGGCTGTCGCAGGGCGACATCTCTCTCAGGACAGCGGCGCAGAGCAGCTGGAGCTGCTCGGGGCAGGTAGGCGAGCAGAGGGTGGTCTGCAGCAGTGCCATGCAAGGCCTCTCCAGCCTGGGGGGAGGGGACGTGTCACCCCCC